GGGTGGTGGCTGCCGCGGCCCCGCCCCGGCGCCCGCCGCCTCAAGGGCGAGACTAGCCCGACCTGCTACAGGCACCCGTGGGGGTGGGGGAGGAGCGGTGGTGGGTCCAGCTAGCTTGTGGGCGGGAGGCGCATGTTCTCCAAAAATCGGCGCGAGCTGCAATCCTGTGGGAGCTGCAGTGGAGGAGGCGGAGAGGCCGCACCCTTCTGGGCAGGGGCGGGGGGGAGTGCCGCAATACCTTTATGGGAGTTCTCTGCTGCCTCCTGTCTTCTAAGGCCGCCCTGAGCCTGGAAGAATCCCTCCCTGTCCCCCCTCCCCTCCGTGATCTCGTCATAGCCTCCATGTCGAGTCGCTTCTCGATTATGGGCGGGATTCTTTTACCCAGGCTTAAGGGCTAACCCAGCTCTTGGGCGTTGTCCTGCAGGGGAATTGAGCAGGTGTAAGATTTGAAGGGCGAGTCCAATTTCTGTATCTTCCCACGGATTTGAGTTTGTGTCAGGAGGTAATTATAATACTGGTGGGGGAGGGAAATGGAACCTAGTCATTCACTTGGGGCTGATTCTATGCAACAAGATTGCAGGTTAGGACTACTTAAGATCCTTTTTGGAGCGTTTTTCCTAGAGATAGAAGGAGGTGAATTAAGGCATGATCACCTGAGTTTTATGCTCATCCCATTTGAGACCCTTGCTATATATGCCACCAAAGTGCAGCATTGCAGATTAACTCGTAGTAGAATTATAGCCTTTGCTTGGGAACCCAGTGCCTTTCTCTCTGCCTCCTCTCCCTTTGCATCTCTACCAGGCACCTCATCAACTCTCACTCATACTTTAATAACATTTTCCATTTGTCGTACTTGCTTATCCAGTCCTCAGATATACAACTTGCTTTCTCCCTCTCCCTGATCTTATGTAGCCCAGTGAGTCATGAAACCAGACAGATTGGTTCCACCACAAATTAAAGCTTGAGCTGGGACCTCACTCTTACCCTGCAGTTCTTTTATTTCTTCCTAAAGTACTTTGAATGTTTGCCTTGATTTTCATTTTATCCTTTTTCCTCAGCTGGGATTCTGTTCCTTACCCTCTTCCAAGTCCAAATGACCTTGACGGCTGCTTTACTGAGAATTGGACCAAAGGTTCTGCAGCATCTCCCTTTCTCCTCCTTTTAGGCCATCCCTTTATTTTTGTTCTCATCAGTTAGTGACTGAGCAGGGACGCCTGTATGATGATAGCCTCCAAACTGCTGTTTTCTATCTCCAGTGTCATTTACTCCATCTGAAATGCTACCAGGACGATTGTCCTGAAGGATAGAGCTTGAAAGTGACAGATGAAATTCCATTATTGGCTCATACTGTTTACAGGATGAATCCTAGGCTCATGAATGTAATGCACAAGGTCCCTTGAAGGGCTTACCTCAACAGCTTTTTTATTTGCCACTTTTTCTGCATATACACACAGAAACATTACATCTCTACCCAAGTTACATGGAATTAATTGCTGTTTACCCATATAGAGACATAGTCATGTATCTTTGTAGGGTGGTTCCTTCTGGAATCATAACACTTCTCAGGTTGTTGTTGCTGGCTTAAATGACTATTCAGAGCTTCTTGAGGGTAGTTTCTTTTTTATTATTAATTTGTTTATTTTTCATTGGGTTTTCACTCTGTCACCCAGGCTGGAGTGCAATGGCACAGTCGCGACTCACTGCAGCCTGGACCTCCTGGGCTCAGGCAGTCTGTTTGCCTCAGCCTTCCTAATAGCTGGGATTACAGGAACGCACCACCCAGCTTTTTCTAGAGACAAGGTCTCCCTATGTTGCCTAAACTGCCTTCGGAATCCTGAGCTCAAGGGATCCTCCCACTTTGGCCTCCCAAAGTGTTGGGATTACAGGTGTGAGTCACTACACCCAGCCGGGGGCAGTTTCTTGTTTATTCTTGTACTACCTAACCTCCTAGTATACTTCTTGATGTCTAGCCCCAACCCTAAGTAAAATGAAGTGACTGATGTGTAAACGTTATTAAGGGCTTATATTTTATCATCTTGATTGAAAAAGTGGCTAGTATGACTAGCTGAATTTTAAATTATATTTAATTTAAATGATCACTGTGGCCATTGTAGCCACAAACTTGAGCTGTTGATTACAGAATACATCTGCATTGTTTTTATTTGTTTTTTTTTGTTGTTGTTATTTTTTTGAGTTGGAGTCTCGCTCTGTCACCCAAACTGGAGTGCAGTGGCCGCTCCCGGCCACCGCAGCCTCGACCTGCTGGGCTCCAGCGATCCTTCCGCCTCAGCCTTCCAAGTAGCTGGAACTACAGGCGTGTGCTACCACGCCTGGCTAATTTTTGATTTATTGTAGAGATGAGGTCTCACCAAGTTGCCTGGGCGGGTCTCGAACCCGTGGGCTCAGGCAATCCACTCACCTCGGCCTCCCAAAGTGCTGGGATTACAGGCTGAGCCACTGAGCCTGGCCTGCATTGTTTTTAATACTGAACAGTAAGGAATTAAAATTGAACCTCTCTGGCCCATTTAATTTTATTTTTTAACTGCTTGTTTATTTTATGTTTATACTTAAGCTGTATTTACGTAAAACCTAAATCTAACAAATTGTTACTAAAGTGAACCTCCCTGGACAACACTGTTGTGAAAGCAAGTGTTGATTAGTTTGTATTTTTTTAAAAATGCACCATGAATTTTAGGAAGGTGATTTCATTAAACCATAATAGGACACGCATAATCAAAATCCAAAGATGTTTAATGAAAAATAGAAGTGTATCTGTTGTTAATGATCTCAGCCCTAAGTTTAGTCTCAGTTTTCATTTTTGAGAAAAACTTCATCAGAGGAGTCCTAAGCATATCTTCAGTTACCAAAAACTAAGAAAGTTTTATTCTGAGGAAGTGTTATAACACCACCATATAATCTAGCATGTTATACATTTCAATTACACTTTTAAAAAACACATTTTAGGGTTTTTTACTTAAAATTTCTCCTTAAAATATGAAACTCCAGTAGTTCAGTCGTCTTCAAACAGTGTGCACAGACAGTTGCCTTGTTATTTAATACAGATTCCCAGACCACCCAAAGATTCTGAATTCACTTGAGAAAACAGGGATCCCACAGAGTGGACAGTAGAAAGAATTCAGTATCTTTTCAAGTTCTTAATTTGCTTACTGCAAATTGAACTCTATGGTATGCCTAGTCACCTGACAAAAATGATTACAACTTCAAAGAAACCGCAGTGATACAGTATGTCCCTTCTACTTTGTCCTTAAATTTGTAACTGTTTACTTTTTTTCCTCCAAAACAATGGGGAGGCATTTGAAAGGCAAAGAAGAACAGTAATTAATATTTTTGGAAACTTACAGATCAGGTGGTTTTCTTTTAAAAGGAATTTTTAAATATTCCAAATATTGTTTTTTTGAACAAGAAAAGTTCAATGCATTTTCTTCTGTTAATCCTACTAAAATTCCTAGGACAGCAATTTAGTCTTGATTCTATAGTGCCAAAGCACATAGCTGAGAACTCAATAAATGCTGGTTTTGTTGCTTTATATGTGAAATTGGGCTCAAATAATAGTTAAGCCCACAAAACGTATAAACAAGGATCCATTTATGGAGAAACTTTTGGGTCATACTTAACCTATGTCTCCTAAGGTACTCATAGGGGAAATTGATGTCTCATGGTCTCTGAATACATCGCTCTACTGTTCGTCTCTTCCTTAGGTTTCCGGTAATAACCATTACAGTAATCCTCTTCCTGTACTTTAATATATTAAATACCTGAAGTTTTGTGGTTTTTTTTTTTAAGAGACAAGGTCTTGCTGTTGGTCTAGGCTGGCCTCAAACTCCTTGACTCGTGATTTGCCCGCCTAGGCCTCCTAAAGTGCTAGGATTTCAGGCATGAGCCACCATGCCCAGCCACAGAATAT